AAGCCCTAAACCCCGAAAGCCCCGAAAACCCCTAAGCCTTTAACCCGAAAACCCCGAAAGCCCCTCAGCCCTAAACCCCGAAAACCTCAAAGTGAGGGCTGCCAGTCGGTCTTCATATAGTGATGGAGTTGCTCGTTAGCACTAGCTTATGACCCACATTATATGAACATATCCCCCAAACCCGGTTCCACTGTCTTTCAACCGTCGATGACGCTGAGATTCGGCTGGTTTGCTTCCCGCACAGCGGTGGCGGTCCCTCTGCATTTGCAGCCTGGGCAGACATCTTGGAGGAGATTCCGGCCTAAACCTTAAACCCTAAACCCTATATAAACCTGCAAGGCCTGAGGGGCATTACAACCATCTTTCACGGTTTTAGGGTCTTCGGTTTCAGTTTCTGGTTTCGGGGTTATGGGTTAAGGGTTTCGGGGTTTAGGGCTTCGGGTCTAAGGCCTAAGGGGTTTAGGGCTTACGGCTCAGGGCAGGTTGTGGTAAGCCGACTCAGAAACACGGCCTGAAGCACAAAATAAGGCCCAGCTAGCCCCAAGCTGCCCTTTTCTCTTTTTTGGGTTCCCTTATCAAGCCCAACTGGTTGGAAAAAGGGTACCCCTATTATGAAGGGGCTACTGGGGAACCTCGTCTACTAAGTCCCAAAACCGAAAGCTTAGAACCCTTGCAGAACCCTTATAGACTTGTAAACAATGTAAAGCACCCTCGCAGAAGCCTTTAAAGATCCTTTAAAGGCGGCCTAGAGGGAACTCCCAGCCCCGAAGCCCCAAACTCCAGGAGTCTTTTGCGGAGGTGGTGGTGATCTCGGCGCCAGGCCCTGCCGCAGAAGTCCCAATGATAGGGACAATTTTGACAGAGGTCGAAGGGATGAATGATGAGCTATTGGGTTTTGGTGGGTGTTGTATACGTAAATGGATGTACAGGGTTTCATAGGGATTTGTAGGGGCTTACGAAGTTGTGGTTGATGCTTTTTATCATGATTGAGAACGGCAAGGCGAATTTTTTTCAACATACAGAGGGCTTAAGCGTTGGGGCTAGGAGGATGGTGCGGGATGCAGATGGTGATGAGGATCCTGAGGATACGGAGGACTGACGGCCGTGATGGCGATGATGGTAGTGGTCACCACTACTTGGAGGATCGGGGGACTTAGTAAGTAGTTATTTTACAGACTTATAAGAATCATAACCCCAATTAGGGTCCCTTTTAGGGTACTTATAAGTCTACTTATTACCTACTTACTAAGTCCCCCGACCCTCCAAGTATGATGAGGCCTAAGCCGACGGCCGGAAGCTGCTCCTAAGCTCAAAAGCCCTAACCCTGAACCCTAAACCCTAAACCCCAAACCCCTAAATTCAAGATTCCAGACCCCGGGGCTGAACCCTGAGAAGAGTTGGTGTGACTGGGGGGAAACTCGCGATGTGTGGGTGCGCCCCTATTCCTAAAGTACGTGGCGCAGCCATCGCGCGCCCACTGTATATACACCGGGAACCCTAAACCGCAAACCCGACACCCGAAACCTTGCACCCTCAACTGGCCCAAAACCCTGAAACTTAAAACCGAGACCCTAAACCCTAAACCCTAAACCCTAAGCCCTAAACCCCTAAACCCTAATACCCTAATACCCTAATACCCTAAACCCTAAACCCTAAGCCTTAAGCCCTAAACCGTAAACCCTAAACCCTAAACCCTAAACCCTAAGCCCTAAACCCTAAACCCTAAGCCCTATCGTAGCTTCCGCCCCAGCAGAGCCCCCGATGAAAGAGGCCGGGAAAGAAGAGTGGAGCTTCCGAGCATCACGGACACCTGGGTTTTCTTTTTTAGGGTTTAGGGTTTATAGGGTTGAGGCTTAGGGCTTATAGG